GTCGCCGCCGAGCCAACTCGGCACGAATCCGCAGTACAGCAGGGGCCCGACCACAAAAAACCTTCCACGAGAAAGCCAATCCTGAGACCCCGGGGCGTCCCTTGATTCTTGGTGTGGGAACGTCACGCTTTCCACGGCAAAACCATCAAAACCCAAGAAACCCAGGGCACCCTGGAGGCAAGCAGGGTGCTTCTTGGCATGGGCATCCACTGTACACAAAAGGGACCGGTACACAACCACGTGTGGGCAGGGCCGTCCTGGGCCCTGGCCGTGTGCAGTTATACAACCTCCTGCCCACAGCCAGAATGGTCTGCGCCATACTCTGTGGCACAGGATGGCCCTGGCCAGGCGTCGCCAGTGGTGTCTAGATGCCCTCCGTGAAGGGAATCCGAACGGATCCGAACGGACTGAGACAGGACGGGACGGAATGGTACAAGGACACGGCTGGAGGGGGAGGGAGGGAGGAAGGAGAGAGGAGGGAGGGAGGAGGGGCCCTCCTCCTGCTCCTCCTCCTCTGGACCCCTCGGGGAAGGCACACGTCGCCACGGCTGGACTGCGCGGCCGGGCTGGTGCTCAGGGAAGATCTAGGGCCCACTCTCGCACGGACTCTGGTGGGGAGGGATGGGGGAAAGAGAAGAGGGTGCGAAGGTGTCTTGGCGGAGGGGGGCAGGGGGAGGGGGGGAGGCTCCTTAGAAGGGGGCTGCTTCATAGAAGGCGCCGGCCTTACATGTATAGGGAAGGCCCGCGCCTTCTAAGAAGCAGGGTTGCTTCTAAGAAGCCTTCCCCCCTCCCCCTGTCTCCCTCTGCGTGGCCGAGCCTCACGAAAGCATGCTTGCGATTCCCGTTGACCGCGCTCCTTGCAAGGGCCGCTCCTCGGCTGTGACCCAGCGCACACCAGAATCAAGGGGGAGAAAGGAGGGGGGCAATCAGAGCAAAGGAGGGAGGATCAGGTGGAGAGCGGTGAGGTCACAGGATGGGGAGGGGAGAACCTGAGTCCCGACGGAAGCTGGCCCAGAGCCCCGAAACACGGCTACACGCACGAGTGACCCCAGGCAAGAATGACCTCTGATGCCCGGACCAACCTCTGATGCGCGGACCAATGTAAAGCGGCCCAGGGACACACAAATAAACAGATACACATCCCTGGATTCCCCATGTTTCCCTATATTTCTGGGTTTTCCTTTTCCCTCCACTTCCCATATTTTCCCTGACTTTCCTAGGAGTCGACGATTGACTGTGTCTGTGTTTTTCCTCCTCCTGATTCCGGGGCGCAGAGTGGCCAGATCCGAGCGCGCAAGCAGCGGCCAGCGCATCGCGCTCAGCGGTATCGGGGGGGGGTCTCACGAGGAGCCCGCACCGCAGGCCACTTCGGCGAAGGGTCGCTCCTACGTGCAGTCGAGAAGCACACCCAGAGATCCGATATCGTGATTTTGCCGATGCGGGGTCCCGAGAAGTCTCGACCCCTTCCCCGAGACCGGTTTTTCGTCCTGAGTTGTTTTTTGACAGTCCTGCAGGGCCTCAGCGAGGGCCTCTAGAGGCCGAAAACTGCGCCAAACCTCCGCCTTGAATGTTTCAAAACGTTGGATCTCTAGGCAGTCGAGAAGCACTGGAGGAGGACGACGACTTCGCCTTCCGCGACCGAGGCCGTCCTGGATCGAGGACGCGGTCGCGGGCGCCAAGCCGCCGCCGGGGGCCCCCGGCCCGGGGGCTGGCGCGGGGTCCACCTGGGCGGCGGCAAGGGCGGCAGCGAGAGGGCGGCGGCGAGAGGGACGGCGAGGGCAGCGAGGGCGGCGGCGCCGACGTCGACGGCGAGGACGGCGGCGAAGACGAGGGCGACGGCGCGGGCGACGGCCAGGGCGACGAGGGCAACATCAGGACGAGGGCGACGTGCGGGAGGGCAAGGCAGAGGACGAGGACGAGGACGAGGGCGACGACGACGACGACGACGACGACGACGACGACGACGACGACGACGACGACGACGACGACGGCGGCGGCAGCGGCGACGACGACGGCGGCAGCGGCGGGGACGACGACAACGACGACGAAGAATGACCAGCCGACCGACGGACCGACCGACGACGACGACAACGACGACGATGCTGGCAACAAAGACGATGACGGAGACCAAGAGGTGGTGAGGGAGCGCCCGGAGTCCATCGGAACCATGCTCGTCGACGGGGCTGCACAAGGAAAGAAGCATGAGGACGAGGGAAGGAGCAGAGCAGCGATTTGCTCGGCGTCCGCCTCCTGCCTGAACAACGGTGGGCTGTCGAGGCGAGCCCTCTCGGTGCAGAGGGCAGCGCTGAAGGCCAGAGGTATTCCCCGGCAAGGCCCCACATATTGTCTGCCTTTTAGAATTTCAAGTGGCTCACGAAAGCCTGGTCCGCCATCTTCCAGTTTGGGACCCCTCAGTCGTCGTCTTGTGTCTGGCGCACTCTACGGCTGGTTCGCGCGGAGTCGGCGCGCGCAAAGGTTTCTGATACCGCGCCGATCGTTCAACCTTGGACCGATCGCGGCCCCGATCGGTCAAGGTTGAGTCCCGTCGGATCCAGTGGCGTTACCGTGCCCCGCAGTGCTCCCGCGTCGTTCTATCCTGCGGAGTTCAACCCTGAACGCCTTCGCCGGCGTCGCCGGCGCGCCAACGCCGCATGAGCCTGCCGCACCTGGGGAAGCCTGCCGATACCACTACGCCCCAGACCTCTCCTGGGGTGCACTCTGACCAAGATTTCGAGGCGAATCCAGCGGTGGCGACGAGAGCCGCCCGTGAAGCCCAAGAACTGGAAAGCGGGACCGAGGGTAGTGCTCATGGGTACCTTTTCCTCCTTTGGGAGCTACCGTATCGGACAGTTGGTGAGGGTGCAGAGGTGAAGAGGAAGGGGCGGGAGCGGGCCGCGGATGAGGCACCCGACCGCGCCGTGCTCGCGACTCGCGACCGCGCGGGACGCGCGCGGCCGAAGCACACAAGAGGAACCGAGTGGTGGGCAGAATTTCTGGCACCACTATCACAGCTAGGACGGGGACCTTCTCTTGACCTTGCAAGTCTGGGCGCGCCCCGATAAACGGGGACCCACGACGGTCAACTTCAGTGCCAAGGTGGGAAACGCTGCCCACTCTTGGGCGGGAGTCCTCCCGCCAGGCGGGACAGAACACCACGGCCAGCACGCGTGGCGCCCGCGGGAGGGCAGAGGTCGGCCAACGCCTTAGGTAGGACGTGGGGAAGGGATCCACGTCGGCGGTACGTCGTAATTGCATCGAAATTACGCCGGGTTTACGTCGGGCGACAGCATTGCTGATGGGCCAATTTCCACCACCACTACCATAGGTTGGACGGGGGGGAAGGATGGGGAGGTCCTCCTCCGCCTCCTCCTCCTCCTCCTCCTCCTCCACAGCATTGCTGATGGGCCAATTTCCACCACCACTACCATAGGTTGGACGGGGGGGAAGGATGGGGAGGTCCTCCTCCGCCTCCTCCTCCTCCTCCTCCTCCTCCTCCTCCTCCTCCTCCTCCTCCTCCTCCTCCTCCTCCTCCTGCAAGCTCGACACCGCAGCGCTGGGCCCTCCGCATATCGTCGTCGTCGCAGCAGTTATCAAGGACCTGGCCACCCTAGTCGGCCCCGAGGAGAAAGCAGTGTTGGAGGACATCTGGAAGACGGTGGTCTGCCAGGAGGACCCGGCGATCCTGGGAGAATGCATCACCCACTTCCAGACCAAGAAGGACAAGCAGCCCCACCAGAAGCAGGAGAAAGTGCGGCTGATCGTTCCCTTAGACTTGCACGCCAGGGCTGAACCTAAACGGTGTTTTTCGTGTTGTGTTCGTTTTCCCTCGTTTTGTATTCACTCCGCCTTTAACGCATAACGAGATCGAAACGAAAACGGCCCACGAAATCACCAAAACACAATTTAGGTCCACCGCTGTTTGCACGGAAAGAACGTGTCCATCGCTAAAGGTACTTTGGTGCGCGAGGTCCAGGAGGAGGGGGGCCAGCGCAAGGTGGGGGCTCGGCGTCTCGGTGTCAACTTCTAAGCCTGCGAAGAGATCGAGCTCGTTGGGGAACGAGTTCAAACCAGGGTGCGCATACAGTCAACCAGTATAGTAAGGGTGCGCGATAAGGATGCAAGGGCCTGGGACGTCCATCTCGAAGCGTTTCGAGCGGGGCGCGGCCAATGAAAGTGGCCAAGGAGGGACCGTGGTGGGAAGGATGCAAGGGTACCCTTGGGAAGGTTGCCCATCCTTACAATGCGGGTTGACTGTAGTCACGCCGAAGCTGGACACCAGGAGCCGAAGGGGCGGCTTCAGCACCACCAGCTCTCCATGCAGGCGAGAGGTGCGCCGAGCTCGCCGCCGCGGGCCGCCTTCCCGCCGCTCCTGTGCTCAGTCTACCGGTGCCTACTTTCCAGGCGTCTACCGATGCTAATCTTCTGACCCTCCGCCCTACAGTCAACCCGTGTAGTAAGGGTGCGCGATAAGGATGCAAGGGCCTTGAAATCCCATTTCGACAAGTCTCGAGCGGGGCGCGGCCAACGAAAGTGGCCAAGGATGGACCGAGGAGGTAAGGATGCAAGGGTACCCGTGGGAAGGTTGTCCATCCTTACTGTGCGGGTTGTCTGTACTCCCCAACCTCAACCTCAGAAGGGCAAAGGCCGCAGCCGTGGCAGAGGAGGTCGCAACACCGCCAAATAATGTCATCTACGAGTACACGCAGGCCTTTGGCCCGCCGAGCGCGGGAGCTGGGTGGCTGCAGTGCATGCGCGTTTCGTGGCGCCTGCGCACTGTGAGAGAAGGGGCTTGCCTCGATAGACCCAGAACCTGATTGCGAGCTAGCACACTATGAGAATAATACACCTGTTGAGCAGTTGACGACATGCTGGGTCCGATTCATTGTCTGTCTGTGTCCTCCTCCTCCTCCGCCTCCTCCTCCGCCTCCTCCTCCTCACCCCTCTCCTACCTATGGTGGTGGTGGTTGTCGTGGCGGTGGTGGTTATGGAGGAAAATCAGCCTATCCCCGAGGACGTCGATGCCGACCTTGGACTGCAGCACGAACACGCACTGCAGGAAGTCGCCGTCCCTCGCGCCGCAGTGGGCGCCTTGGCACGCCGCCTCCAGACGATCAGACCAACGCCGGGGTCGAACGCAAGCTACCGAGGCCACCATGCCCCGCGCCTCCCGAGGGCCGTGCAGCGGCCTCAGAAGAGGCTGGGCACCGCGGCGGCAGTGCACTGCTGACAGAGCGGCGCGGGGGGGGGGGGGGGGGGGGGGGGGGGGCGTCGAAGCGGAAAGCCTCGTATGGCGCCTCGAGGCGGGTCCACCTGCGCGCGAAGCGCCGCCCCGCCAGGAGGCGCGCCCATGCGAGCGGCTGCGCGGCCACCTCGTGGACCTGGGCCAACTTCGCCTCGTCAGACAAGGACCCCCGCCCCTATCCGCTCGCTCCCGTCGCCTGAGCAGAGCGCCTGCTTGACAGCTGCCCCGCCGCCTGGACCTTAGAAGCCTCCACCGCCAATCGCGCGGCGGAGGGCTGGCAATCGGGCGTCGCCCCAGCGCCGCGAGCGGCCTGCGAATCTGCTGCAGAGGGCGCAGCCCCCGTACCGCTGCCCGAACGCGCCTCGCCAGGCGTCCAGAACCGCCGCAGCAACAGCCGCAGCAGGGCCGCCATAGAAGCCGACGATTAGGCCATCGTGCCGTACTGTGGAGGCCAGTCCACAAGAAACCTTCCACAAGAAACCCAACCCTGAGACCCCAGAACGCCCATGGATTTTTGGTGTGTGAACGTCACGCTCTCCATCGCAAATCCATCGAAACCCAAGAAACCCAGGGCACCCTGGAGGCAAGCAGGGTGTTAATTGGCATGGGTCCCCACTGTACGCGCAGCGCGTGCCGCAACGCCATGGCGGCAGCAGTGGCTGCCGCGGCGGCAGGGGCTAGCCAGCGGCCATGTCTTGGCAGAGACGGCGCGGCCTCCGCGCCGAGGCTTGCGCACGCCGCTGCTGCCTCCTGCGCGCCCGCACGTGCGTCCAGCCGCCTGTCCTTCTGCGAGCAGGGCAGCGGGACGGGAGGCGCCGCAGGAACGCCGACGCATTTGCCGTCCGATTGCAACGCCACGTCGCGGCGCAGAGCATTATAATTATGATCAGCGCCACGTGGTAACCGCCCCTCCAGCAGAGCCATGAGGGCAAGCGCCAATGAAGACCCGATCCGCAAGCTCACGTCCCCGATGGAGCAGTATGTGCCGCCGAGGAACGCGTCACGCTCCGCCAGCGCCGCCGCCAGCTCCGCTTGAAGTCGAAAAGTCGCAATGTCGCACCCATCTGTCGGAAGAAGTAGGAAGAAACATGAGGTAGGAACGCGTTGAAAATAGATTGGGTGCCCGCCCGCCCCCTAAAGAGGACGGAAAAGGTAAAGCCCCTCGATCATTGAAGTAGGAAGGTGCTTAAAGTAGATGGGAACCTGGAAGTCAACCAAAAAAAACTACTTTCAACGACCGATGGGTATGTGCCGCCGAGAAACGCGTCACGCTCCGCCAGCGCCGCCGCCAGCTCCGCTTGAAGCCGACAAGTCGCAGCGTCGCCAGAGCAGCGCGCCCACGAACGCCGCGCCCGCTGCCCAGCGGAGTGGCCCCCCTCCCAATGCTCCTGCAGCGCGACTTCCCGCGCCGCGAACGCGCCTACGGCCAGCGACCCACTCTGAGCACAGCTGGCGGAGCCGCCAGGCTACGAACCGAACGGCCATGGATGCTGGGCACCCGGCACGGGCCAACATGGCTGCGGAGAGGGGCGGTGGATCCGGGGGAGGGGCGAGGCAGAAGCGGGAGCCTCCCTGCGCGGCAGGCCCTCGCCGCAGGAGCAGCGGTCGGCGCCCCCGAACGCGCGCGCGAGGGGGGAATGGGGACGGATGAGCGAGGTGGTCATTCTGGGGAATTTCCTGGAGACACTCGCTCGATTATTGCGTCGAAGCTGCGTCGAAGCTGCGTCGAACGTCCGTCGATTTGGGTCGACCCTGAGTCGAATCTGAGTCGAACTCAAGTCGAACTTGAGTCGAACTTGAGTCGAACTAGGGTCGAACAGATCCGTTGGGTGGCCCCAGGAAGGCCCCCAAAACGAGCAACTAAGGAATTGGGACGGATGAGTGAGGAGGAGCGAGGAGCGACGAGGGAGGCGGGAGGGAGAACGGGGCGGCGGCGGCGGCCCCGGCGACGAGGACGACGGGGCCGAGACCCCGTGGGCCTGCTCAGAAGCTGCGAGCTGAGCAGTTCCAGCGCGTGAGTGCCCACGCAGTCGATAGTAGGCCCCCACTACCCCACGACGTCTAAGAGGGGAAGTGGGGTTCACTTCGTTCGGGACCTCGTGAGCGAAGTGACCCCACACCCCCTTAGAAATCATGGGGTGGTGGGGTAGGGTTCGCGGGTGGCCACCGAATCGACCCCCTCCCGCTGCACCGCCCCCAGCACTGGCCCTGCAGCTTCGGCGACCCCGAAGGGCGTGGTTTGCAAACGGTGTGGGTTGGCAGGCTTGGGCCTCCCGTCATCATTGTTGCAGGACGCGAAGAGGTCTGGGCCTCGCGACTCCTCCTCGCGGGCGCCGCCAACCTCTCCTTCGTTCGGCGACTCCGAAGGGTGTGGTTTGCAAACGGTGTGGGTTGCAGCCGGCACCCTGGGAGGTACCCTGGGGGGCGGGCGGGGACCTCCACAGAGCTCTCCGACGCGCCCAGAGGATGCCCGACGAAGAAAGTGTCGTGTCGGGGGGGCATCAAGGTGGGGTAAGGGGCCAAAGGTGGGGTTGGAGGGAAAATCGCTCTGGACGGCCCCTGGAAAAGAAGAAAACGTGTTAGACGGGAGCGTCCGGCTGAGCCCGCTCCCCAGCCTCGCCTTGGGATAACCCTCCCTCTACGAACCCCCGATCATGCCCCCCCCCCCCGACCCCAACGTTATATTGCTCCCAGCGTACTTAAGGACCACATCCCAGAAATAATTCTGAGCACCCGGAAAAGCGTCGAAAGAGTGTCGAAACAGTGTCGGACGAGTGTCTCCCAGAGCCTGACACGTGAAACCCTTGACTTTCGGTACTTGTTTGGTGCTCGAAATTCTTTCTGGTGGTCAAGGCTAGGTCGGAACATCATAACCCAAACGGTGCCGATCGCAACCCACCCCAGGGCGTAACCACACCGCTTGTAGTCGCCGACGGCTGCTCCCGTGCCGCCTCCTCCCCGTGCCCGCGCACGCTGCCGGGCGCCACCGTGATGGACTGCCCGTGCAGCGCGGCTATCGCCCTGGCGGCCTCCTCCTGGCGTCGAGCGCGCGCGGGGTGAGGGCCTTGGTGAAAGGGGCCCAGGGACACACAAATTATTCACTGCGTGGAGCTCCCAATATATGCATCTTTTCGCATGGACCTTTCTGCCGTGAGTGTCTAGGCGCAAGAGCTTTCGAATATAAGCGGGCTTCAGTTGTGACGGTCTGGTCGTGAATCTGACTGCGAATGAACTGAAGTGTGAATGAGTCTCAGTAGTACGAGCGCGTCTCTGCGCATGAGCCTGGGGCCATCTGGGGCCTCCTGAAACCTCCGGGGGCTTCCTGGGGCCTCCAGGAGCCTCTTGTGGCCTCCTGGGGCCTCCTGGGACCTCCCGGGACCTCCTAGGGAGGATTCGTGCCCCAGGAGAGGCCCAATCTATAGGAACAGACGTACATAAAGCATTGCCGATTGGAGCCACAGGAGAAGGGCAAGCTATAGGAACACACGTAAAACACCAAAGACTCGTGCCCCAGGGGAGGCCCAATCTACAGGAACATACGTAAAAGAAATAGGATTGCACACACCGGAGAAGGACAATATATAGAAACATATGCATAACATCAAGGATTCGTGCTCCAGGTGAGGCCCATCTATAGAAGCACACGTAAAACACATGGGATTGGAGCCACTCCTGCTGCCTTCTGAGGCCTCCTGCTCCTGGGGCCTCTCGGGGCCTCCTGTTGCCTTCAAGGGCCTCCTGGCGCTTCCTGTGGCCTCCAGGGGCCTCCTGTGGCTTCCTGAGGCCTCCTGGAGCTTCCTGGGGACTCCTGGAGCCTCTTGGGACATCCTGTGGCCTCTTGAATATTTATGTGGCCTTCTGATGCCTCCTGGGACCTCATGTAGCCTCCTGGGACCTCCTGGAGCCTGCTGAAGCCTCCCGTGGCATCCTGGGGAGAATATGTGCCCACGAGTCTGGCCACCAAAACAGAGAAACCGATCGAGACATCCTCGTAATCTGGGCCCCCTGGGGAACGATAACCAGCGCCTCGCACGAGACATCCTCAGAATGCAAACCGCCTGAGACATCCCCGCTATCTGGGCGCGAACGGAGGCCGTGAGATACCCTCGGCGGCGCCCCCTTAGGAGGCGCCTCGCACGAGACATCCTCAAAATCTGCTCCGGAAACGGAGGATGTTCGCGACCAAAACAAACAAACCGCTTGAGACATCCCCGCCATTTTGGCGCGAACGGAGGCCGTGCAATACCCCTGGCGCCCGTTTTAAAACCAGCAAACCGCTCGACACATCCTCATCATCTGCTCATCGTCATCATCATCTGCTCATCGCCATCGCCATCATCATCATCATCATCATCATCATCATCATCATCATCATCATCGTCATCATCATCATCATCATCATCATCATCATCATCATCATCATCATCATCATCATCATCACCACCACCACCACCACCATCACCACCATCATCATCAGCATCAGCATCCTCAGAATCATCAGACTCATCCATCATCCACCATCACTACCATACTCACATCATACTCTCACCATACACGGGTCGTCATCATGACATTCATCATCATCTAGTGCAGAGAGGGAGGAGGGGGGAGGAATGATGATGAGGGATCCAGCGCGGTCAGAGAATAATTATTCACTGCGTGGAGCTCCCCATCTGTGCATCTATTCGCATGGACCTGTCCGCAGTGAGTCTAGGCGCAAGAATGTTCGAATTGCAGCGGGCTTGAGTTGTGAAGGTCTGGTCATGAATCTAACTTCGAACAGATTGGAGCGTGAATGAATCTCGGTAGTACGAGCGCGTCTCTGCGCATGAGCCTGGGGCCTCCTGGGGCCTCCAGAAACCTCCTGGGCCTTCCAGGAACCTCTTGGGGCCTCCTGGGGCCTCTTGGAGCTTCGAGTGGCCTCCTGACGCCTCCTGGAGCCTCGCGTAGCTTCCTGGAGCCTCCTGGAGCCTCCTGGGACCTCCTAGGGAGGATTCGTGCCCCAAGAGAAGCCCGAGGCATCATCATCATCATCATCATCATCATCATCATCATCATCATCATCATCATCATCATCATCATCATCATCATCATCAGCAGCAGCAGCAGCAGCATCATCATCATCATCATCATCATCATCCTCATCCTCATCCTCATCAATCATCATCATCATCCTCATCATCATCATCATCATCATCATCAGCATCAGCATCAGCATCAGCATCATCATCAGCAGCATCAGCATCAGCATCATCATCATCATACTCATCCATTATTCACCATCACCATCATAATCACATCATGCTCTCACCATACCATGGTCTCATCATCATGGTATGGGTGGTCCGGCGTGTGGTCGGAAAAAAAGCATTCACTGCGTGGAGCTCCCCATCTGTGCATATATTCGCATGGACCTGTCCGCCGTGAATGTCTAGGCGCAAGAGTTCTCGAATATAAACGGGCTTGCGTTGTGACGGTCTGGTCATGAATCTAACTGCGAATGAATTGGAGTGTGCGTCTCTGCGCATGAGCCTGGGGCCTCCTGGGGCCTCCTGAAACCTACTGGGGCTTCCTGGGGCCTCCAGGAGCCTCTTGTGGCCTCCTGGGGCCTCCTGGGACCTCCTAGGGAGGATTCGTGCCCCAGGAGAGGCCCAATCTGTAGGAACAGACGTACATAAAAGCATTGCTATAGGAACACACGTAAAACACTCGTGGCCCAATGTATGGGAACATAAGTGAAACATTTAGGATTGTGTACACAGGAGAAGGATCAACTATACATATACATATATATATATATATATTATATATATATATATATATATATATATTATATAGAAACATACGTATAATCTCAAGGATTCGTGCTACATGTGAGGCCACATATGTAGGAGCATACGTAAAACACATGGGATTGGAGCCACTCCTGTTGCCTTCTGAGGCCTCTTGCTCCTGGGGCCTCTCGGGGCCTCCTGTTGCCTTCCGAGGCCTCCTGGCGCTTCCTGAGGCCTCCTGGAGCTTCCTGTGGCTTCCTGAGGCCTCCTGGAGCTTCCTGGGGCCTCCTGGAGCCTCTTGGGACATCCTGTGGCCTGTTGAGTTTTTCTGTTGCCTCCTGATGCCTCCTGGAACCTCATGTGGCCTCCTGGGGCCTCCTGGAGCCTGTTGGAGCCTCCTGCGGCATCCTGAGGAGAATATGTGCCCACGAGTCTGGGCACCAAAACAGGCAAACCGATCGAAACATCCTCAAAGTCTGCCCCCCCCTGGGGGGCGAAAATGAGCGCCTCGCACGAGACATCCTCCGAATCTGCTCCGAAAGCGGGGGATGTTCGGGGACCAAAACAGGCAAACCGCCTGAGACATCCCCGCCATTTGGGCGCGAACGGAGGCCGTGCAATACCCCTGGCGGCCCCCCCTCAGGAGGCACCTCGTACGAGACATCCTCAAAATCTGCTCCGAAAGCGGGGGATGTTAGGGGACCAAAACAGGCAAACCGCCTGAGGCATCCCCGCCACTTG